CCCGCATTTTCTTCCAGAGGCGAGACTGGGGTACCTAGTACGGGTACGAAAACTGGTGCTCAGATTGGTGTTGCGATCCACAGCCAATCTGCCAATATTTCTCAAGCCTCTACGTGGAACCCACATTATCTCGTCGGGGTGGTGGGGCCCGCGCGGGACCCGCGTTTTCTTCCAGAGGCGAGAGTGGGGTACCTCCGACGGGTAGGAAAACTGGTGCTCAGATTGGTGTCGCGATCCATAGCCAATCTGCCAATATTTCTCGAGCCTCTCTATGTTTAACAACCAAACTCCTTAATTGTGAGGTAGTTTATCTTAATCAACTCTCATCAACCATGCGATGATGGTGTTTAACGTTTTCAATTTTAATTTTCCTTAGGTTTTTCTGGTGATAGTCCAACATTATGGCAGCAGTAGGATTCCATAATCATGAAATAATTTCCATCTTTTATAGGTATAGGCATCACAAACATCTCTCCTTATCTCAAAAAATAGTTTCCTTAGTAGTAAGAAATCCCAAATAGAGATTATATTCTTATTAAAATAAACACATCAAGTATTAATTGACATATTACGCCTTCACTTCACGATTCGTCTCGTTTGTCATCGAATAATAATCGTTGCATATTCTATGTAACTCAGATCGAACCTTCATCACATTCGCATTTGATGCATCCATTATATTATATATTATATATTATAATAATATAAAGAAATAATAACAAGATATATAGTATATTACATATTATAGAATGTGTAGATTATATATTATAATAATATAAAGAAATAATAACAAGATATAGTATATTATATATTATAGAATGTGTACATGAAAAAAAAAAAAACAATAATTTATGAGAAATAAATTGAGTTTTTGTTTTGTAAAGATTAAATATATTTATTAGTATATTATTAAATAAGTGTCAAACGTATTAATGTGATGATGCGCGCACTTACGCACGTGGAAAAGCAGCGACTGCAACAGTAAGAACACCAGAGCAGCGACAAGTAAAGGTCAGAAGGTTAGTAGAAATCTTGGGGGAGATCTAAAAGGAGGGGGTACTTTGGTTCTAAGCCACCACACCCAGCGCCCCTCTCCTACCTAAAAGGACAAGCAATCTTTCGAGGAACGAGGGTTTCAGAGCCGAGCTCCCCTGCTGACAGCTATTGCCCTCGGGGAGACATGGTGGTATTCCCTGTTTGACTCCTCTCTTGGAAGACAAGAGCGAGAGAGAAAGAGTCGAGGTCGTGTTGTGACTATGGTGGAGACTTCCAGATCAGCTGCCGTTGCTCCATGTTCTCGTCCCATGACCAGGATCTTGGCAGGTAGGTTCGACGCCTGGCTCTCGCTTTGTCTTCTAAGATCCTGCTTCTTCTGGCAAGTGGATTCTGAATCGCCGGTTTCTGGTACCTCATTAGATCTGTGTGATCTGTTTGAGACACAAGGGGATTGTCCTCGTGATTTCGCTTTTCTGATGGAAGATTGCCATTTTGAATCTTGATGGCCTGAAAAAGGTCTTGACCTTTCGATTGATTCATCTCTTCTTATCTTTTCTGGAATAAAATTCAAATCTTTTCTGTGATTATTCCAATTTTTTCCCTGTGATGAGGTCTCGACAGCATATTGTTTACATAGTCGATAAGGCAGTTTTCGTGATTTCCTCTTTTGGGAATACGAGTTAATTGGGTGTGATCAGTTTCGATGAGCACTTATTTTCTTCTTTTCAATTAATTTTGATTAAGATGCATAGTTTTTAGAACTTTTACTGCTGCCGATTTCGGCCCTGAAGGGATGCAATCCAACGAATTTTAGTTTTCCATGACTGAGTTTTCACTCATTGCTTTAGTTAACTAAGTGTATGCTGGATTATTGTTGCTGAATAAGGATTAGATCTTGAATAGGATGTGTCCGCAAGAGGTAGATATATGAAGATGTGAATTTAATTGGAATCCCTTTGAATCTATATAGGTTTTATATTTAATACTGCAGCATTGTCTTGGAGATAGAAAAAGGAAGAATGAGGATCAAGAACAAACACCGGAAATCATCTGCTTTCGGTTGCAATGCAGGAAGCAGATGTTCATGTTTAGCTGTGTGGAGCCTGGTGGGGTTCATCCTTATGATCCATTTCTTTACTCATATCCATCGAGATGACGAGGAGGATGTTCTTGTACCGTTGAGTCATCTGTCTGACATCAGGGAATTGGAAGAGGTGGAAGAAGTGACATTTCATTTTTCGCCTCCTAGAGACCGGCGGTCTCCACGTGCTCTGAAGCGAAAGGGACCAAGAAAGCCGCCTACAGTGATTGATGAGTTCTTAGATGAATCTTCTGAGGTGCATGCTTTTTTCTTCCCTAACCGGAAAACAACATTTGGCCCAACAAAGGAAGGGAACAACAGCATGTATTTCTATCCGGGTCGAGTGTGGCTGGATACAGATGGGAATCCAATTCAAGCCCATGGTGGAGGACTTCTGTATGATGACAGGACGGAGACATACTACTGGTATGGAGAGAACAAAGACGGCCCAACTTATCATGCACACAGGAAGTCAGCTGCACGGGTCAGTTAAATCCTTCGGCTTTTAGTTTATCTCGTATTCACTTGCTTCACGCTAGTACTGGATGACACTTGACAAATATGCTTCACTATGCTTGCTGCCTGTCCGTAAACCCTTTTGTAAATCTTCTGTGTGGGCATTGGAAGAAACCCAAACGCAGTATACATTGATGCTATATCTTAGAGAAGATTTGAAGAATCTTTTATTTAGAGTTTGCTCTTTCTATGTGTATTTTTCATACCACAGATCATCCTTGTGTTGGAAGTTAAATTAATTCTATTATCTTTGGTATGCTATGGTCACTTTATTCTTGTCAAGACATTTTAGTTGTTTCATCAACAGTAATTATCAGTTTACTTGGATCTATGTTACTCTATGTTTCTGCTGCAACTTATTTTTCATCTATTAGAGGTAGGATGCTTGATGCATAGTGTTTCTAGAAATTACACTATTCTTTAACATTGATGTTCAGCAGCATCATAGCAATGAGCTGCATGCACCGTCAGTGCCCCTCATGTTTGTGATTGATCTAACAGTATCTCTTTTATCTGGAATTTCCCCATACACATGTGATTTGCAATCACAGCTTCCTCTTGATTCCCATAATTATTGATACATGAATAGTGCAGTACTGGATCATAGAGGCCTAATTTGAGTACTTGTATCATGTTTATGCTGTTTTCTGCACAATCTTCAGTGGTTAAGTCCTTTTATTGTGGAACTCCTAATGTAATATTAAAGTTAATTGTACTTCTTGATTGTACAAGTTTTCCCTATTACAGTTATTGCTGCTTCTAATATGTGCAGCACATCCTGTATTTACCTTCTTAGAATTTTCGTAATAGAATATTGCTCTCTTTCCCTTCTTTGACAATAAACTTCTTTTTGTTTCACATTTTCCATTTTCTAGTGACACAAAGTTGATTAATGAATGCTTGGGATGTCAAAGTGGAACTTCATTTAATTGGGTTAATGAAAATCCTGTGTTATACAATTCGATAACAGCTGGATGGTGCCCCCTACTCCCGCTTAAGAAAAAACATACGTGCAAACCAAAGGTAAAAAGAGGCTCACAAAAATGCAATCTTTTCATAACTCAACTGTTTTAGGTTGAATTTAATGAAATCATTCGACTTCGGTCCAATTCCTTGGTTATAGTTGTCATAAGACAGGTTTCTTCCTGAGAACAATTTTCCTAGTTTTATGAGACATTGATACTTAAGATCCATGTTTACTAAATCTGACAGTTTTATGTTGACTGTTAGTCGCCTAACGTAATCTTCCATCTCTTTCATCCAGGCTTGGGATTGGTTTTGTCAGTCACCTAACATAGTTTTACATTAGTTGGGACATTACGATTTTTTGTTGTTGCTGTTGTATTACGAAACATTAATACTTCAAAATGCTTATCCACGCTAGATGCCTGTTAGATATTGATACTACTTGAGTACTTCTTCCTGTATAGTTGTGGAACATTTTGTTAATTAAACATAGTTTCTTTCCTGATGAATAGATTGGTTATTTGTGATATATTATAATGTGCAAGCACTGTCTGCAACACTCGTAGATTAATGTCAAGGTCTATTGCAGATAAATATAATATTTAAGTTTTTAATTGTCATATTTATGCGGAGTATTATCCTGTTCTTTCGAAATTTGAAGCACTGTTTCTGTAACATACTGGCATCCAATACAACCATGTCTTAAGCAGTGATTGAAAAAGGCGCTCGGGCGCTCGCCTAGGCGCTCGGGTGAGGCGAGGCGAGGCCCGAGCGCCTCGCTAATGTCCCAGGCGGCGCGCTTCAAACAGGCACCGCCTGGGCGCTCGCCCGAGCCCAAGCGCTGGGCGCTTCGGGCGAGCGCCTGTGTAAACCAAGGCGACCGAACCAGAATTTTAGGTCTGGTTCGGTCCTGGTTCGGTTGTTAGTTAGTTCAATCGAACCAACTAAACCGATATAACCCCAACCCTAACCTGTTGCCGCTACCGCTGCCGCTGCCGATCCCGATCCCGATCGCGATCTCGCTGCTCGTCGCTCCTGCTCCTGCTCCCGTTGCTCGCCGCTGTCGCTGCTCGCGCCTCCCGCGAGCCCTCTCGTTGCTCGCGCCTCCCGCGAGCCTTCCCGTTGCTCGCGCCTCCCTCGAGCCCTCCCGCTGCTCGCGCCTCCCGCGAGCCCTTCCGCTGCTCGCGCCTCCCGCGAGCCCTCTCGCTGCTCACGCCTCCTGCGAGCCCTCCCGCGAGCCTTCCCGCTGCTCGCGCCTCCCTCGAGCCCTCCTGCTGCTTGCGCCTCCCGCGAGCCCTCCCGCTGCTCGTGCCTTCCGCTCCCTTTCCCTTTCCCGCTGTCGCTCGCCGCTGCTGTTGCCGTCGCTCGCCGCTGCTTCCTCGTTTCTCCATCAGGCTCAATATACAGTATACTCTTAATATTAAGTTTATTTGAATTTTGAAATGATTAATTTTCTGTTAATAGATTAATAATATATTATTTTGATTTTAATGTTGTTAATTTTTATTTATTTGAAATTATTAATTATATTATATATTTTTATATTTTAGCGCCTCGCTTCGCTCGGGCGAGCGCCTAGCGCCTCGAGCGTTTGTGGACCTTGGCGCCTTTTGGCGCCTAGCGCTTTTTAAATCACTGGTCTTAAGTCTAACCAACATATCCTATGAACAACACTTCATAATGTCCTTGTGAGTAAACCATAAAAGGTTATTTTAGTGAGACAAGGCAACTTATTAGTTGCAATGCAAGTTTTTTCAAGTTTTATTTGAATATGATAGGGCAAGCTTTTTCACCCCTTTAATTTGGCATATAGATAAGTCTGGAATCTGGTAGCTGTCGTAGAAAATCTTATTCAAGATGTGGTGAGACTTGGTTAATGGGGATCATATGTGGATAATTGGTAATGGATGTATGCAACAGACTCGTCTACTTACTGTTTTCTTGGTGGCACATTATGAGACGAAGTATCCTAAAATGTGCAATCAAAGATAATTTATGCTGTCTTGACTGTGTTCAAATGCCATGGGTTGAAACTGATATAAAATGGTGTACATTCCCCAGAATATTTTTGTGAAAACAATTATCTTAAAATAGTCCACCACATAGCTATTGCCAAACTTGGGTGATACTCTTATCTTCTCGACTCATGCTTCCAGTATGAGAAATGCTGGATTCAAATGATAACATGTACGTTCTTTCAGATAATTAGGTGAATTTGATTGGACTTCGGAGGACGTCAAATTTCTCATGAATATAACTGATGTCTATGCCACTATTGTCTTAAGAAAAAAAATGAATCAAATGAGTAGTTTTGGTAAAATATTGCGGACCCTCTTGGAGAGGATGCTTGAGATCTTTTATTTGGAAGTTGAAGCTCCAGTATCAAGAGATGGCAAATAAAATGAAAGGCTGCATAGACATAGAAGGATGCTAGGCTTCGATAGCTAGTTTTGTTGCAAGATTTGTTCTCCTATGTAGAGATGAATATGTCTCATCCGTTATGCAAGGGTCTATACAAGACAAACTAGAAAGATATCATATGTTTAATACTATGTTTGTTGTTTATTTATGTGAAACAAATTGGTTTTCTGGTTAAGCCAGCTTTAAAAAAATGAAAAAGATGGAGGAGTTATGTTTTTGTTGCTTTAGTTGGATCGTTGAGTAGCTTCTTATGCATGTGGTGTTCTTGCGACATAAAGCTTGGTTTTTTTGCTTGGATATGGTTTGAACATCAAACAGAGCCTGTTTATTACATATTGGCTGGGGCTTCCTTTATTGTGCTTGTCTTTATATTTTTAGCTACATTTATCTTACTCCATTAGTTTACATGTTGTGTTCATTACTTTTTCCTATTTATACTTTTTTAAAATGTTGACTCTGAAGATGTGTGTTTAGACTAAAGACAGTATCTTCAAGGAATAGGCCCTTTTAGTTACATGTATCTTCCTCCATTAGTTTACATGTTGTGTTCATTACTTTTTCCCATTTATACTTCTTAAAATGTCGACTCTGAAGATGTGTGTATAGACTAAAGACAGTATCTTCAAGGAATAGGCCATCCAAAATGAAAATTCACACCATTGAGAAAGTGTCAGCTATGTGTAAAGTGCCTTGAGACTAAGCATGCCTTTATGGTGCTTTATCAGTGGTCAAAGAAGAGTTTGTGCTAAAGAATATTTTGAGCACTTTTGGTTGAGGATTAAAATGATGGACTAGATCTTTATGCCATGTGTTATTGGATCTTACATGGTAAGTGAAAAATGTAGGATCTCCCTGAAAAGGGAGGGAATAATATTTTTGTCATTCAATCGACAGGCCTATATTTGCGGGCATTAAATTGGAGTAGCTATTCAATGTAATGGAATTTGTTGAAGGAATGGTTCCAGTCCTAAGTTACAAGATAGCTTATACTTATTGGCTACCCCTTTGAAATCGTCCTTACAACATAACACAGTCTTTGTGTTGATAATTATTTGTGGCATATTCTTTGTTCTTTAACATATCCGACTTCTCAGTTCTCCTTGTGGACTCCTGGGGAAAATTAACTCAATTAGTTCATATATTTTTCTCCAGGTTGATATCATTGGAGTCAGCTGCTATTCCTCAAAAGACTTATGGATGTGGACGAATGAAGGGATTGTGCTGCCAGGAGTGGAAACCAATGTCACCCATGATCTTCACAAGTCCAATGTCCTCGAGCGCCCTAAAGTGATCTACAACGACAAGACTGATCAGTACGTCATGTGGATGCACATCGATGATGCCAATTACACCAAAGCCGCGGTGGGAGTAGCTGTCAGCGACTCCCCTACCGGCCCGTTCACATACCTGTATAGCATGCGCCCACATGGTTGTGAGAGTAGGGACATGACCATCTTCAAGGACGATGACGGAAAGGCTTTTGTCATATACTCTTCTGAAGATAACAGCGAGCTCCACATTGGTCCATTAACAGATGACTATCTCAACGTAACGAGAGTTATGAGGCGGATTTTAGTGGGACGACATCGAGAAGCCCCTGCCCTGTTCAAGCATCAAGGCATATACTACATGATCACTTCTGGTTGTACTGGGTGGGCTCCAAACAAAGCTTTGGCCCATGCGGCTGAGTCGATCATGGGACCTTGGGAGACAATGGGAAATCCTTGTGTTGGAGGGAACAGGGTCCTTAGGCTGACTACATTTTTCTCCCAGAGCACGTTTGTGGCACCATTGCCAGGTTTGCCAGGTTCATTCGTCTTTATGGCAGATCGTTGGAATCCTTCTGAGCTTAAAGATTCAAGGTACTTGTGGCTGCCTTTGACCATCGGAGGATTGGCTGATGAACCCCTAGAATACAACTTTGGGTTCCCTCATTGGTCCAGAGTGTCTATATATTGGCACAAAAGATGGAAACTGCCTGAAGGTTGGAGAACTGAGTAAACCTGAATTTTCTTTTCTTGTGATTTGTTCTGAGTTAGAATAGTTAGCCTACTATTTGTTGTCTCTGTGTAGTATGTATATAAGGATATCATACAACCAGCTCTCAACAATTATTCTTGACCAGGGGGTTCGATCGGCCCTTTGCCGATAAGGTCATATGCACTGGCCCAATTTTATGTTGATCGACATCTTTAAAAGATTTCGGAGCTTTTGTAAGGTTGAAATATCATCTCACATCTCTGCTTGTTGAAACTTACAAATTGGTCAGCTCTTTAATGTTCAGTCCATTGGTTTGCTTGTTGATCCTTTTGAAGTCAACAAAAGCTGTGATCAACTTGCTTTTTTGGATTCATGGAATTTGGATTCATGGAGTCAAACTTCCAAGGATTCCATGCTGCTGCTGTGTGATGATACTGTTCCTTCTCAGAACTCTTCTTGCTCATAAACACTTGTTTTCAGTGATATCCTGTGCAGGGCTGTGTTTGAAATAATGGACACATTATACATGATTTTTATTCGACAACAAAAAAACATGATTTTATGATGTGATTTAGCTAATAATTATGTTCAATTTTCCTATGTTTCTCACTGAAGGTGGGCTGTAAGGCTGATATGTTTGATGCTATCTATCATGTAAAGTTGGAACCTTTATTTTCCCTTTCATCAGCAGCAACTTTAAAGTGAGTGCTCAAACCACTGTAAAGAGACAAGAACTCCTTTTCCAAATGAGAGAACAAATCCATGCCCATATCCCCCACCCTCAAAAGGAGCTCCCTCTTTCTCTTCTCATCTCCTGTGTCTCAAAAGCTCTCCTTCGTTTCCTTCTTCCTTCTTTCTCTAGATATCTATAGAGAGAGAGAGAGAGAGAGAGAGAGAGAGAGAGAGAGCATATCGACCTAACAAAACGTAAC